TTCCACCAGACCGGCGTGTCATCCCGAGTCGTTTTCTGATGGTTCCGGGGCCAGCGAGGGCCCCCAGAGGTCGAAAGCAAGAACATGTGTCGTGGTATCCTCATGATCCGAGTGGGTCCAGCTTTCGGGCCATCACTCGGGTCTCCGGCGACCGTTCGGGACGAGCTGGACAGCCCCAGAACGCCCCTGGCGAGGCGCAACTGCTGGAGAGCGCTCCGAGGCTGGAATACCTCAGAGGGCTTACGAATACGTCGAATACCTAACCTCTACATTCCACGTGCCCTGACGTTCGCCGTCGTCTGCGTCGTTCTTGTCGACGTCGTCGTCGGCGTCGCCCTCGCCGTCGTCGTAGGCTGCCAGGGCGGAGCCGGCGGTGGCGGGGACTCGGGCGAGCCCCAGCGGTGACGCGGAGGCGCGCGGATTGCTGTCTGGGGCCGCCCGTCGTCGTCGTCGTCGTCATCATCGTCGTCGTCGACCTCGTCCTATTGATCGTCGTCCTAGTCGCCGTCGTCGGGATGATGATGGGGATGGGGATGTGTATTTGGATGCGGATAAAGATGAGGATTGTGACGAGGATGATGAGGATTATGGTGGCGGTGGTGGCGGTGGTGCTGATGCAGATGAAAATGTTGATGAACATAATGGTAATGACGATGATGCTGATGGTGGTGATGATCATGACTATGACTACTAAAGTGATGATGATGCTGCTGATGATGATGGTGATGGCGATGATGATGGTGATGGCGATGATGATGGTGATGGCGATGATGATGATGATGATGATGATGATGACGATGAGGAGGAGGATAAGGAGGATGAGAATTTTGATGATGATGGTGATGATGACGATGATGTTGCTGGTGATGGTGATGATGCTGCTGCTGATGATGACGATGATCATGCTGATGATCCCGATGACGATGATGATGCTAGTGATGCTGATACTGCTGATGATGATGTTGCTGATGATGGTGATGGTGATGCTGATGTTGGTGATGATGATGCTGCTCATGATAATGCTGCTCATGATGATGTTGATGTTGATGGTAATGCAGCTGTTGATGGTGGTAATCATAATGATGATGATGCGGACTATGACAGTATAATGGCACGGATGATGTCGATGATTGTGATGCTGTTGTTGATGATGATGATCATGATATGGTGATGGTAGTGATGATATTGGTGAGAATGATGATGATGATGATGATGATGATGATGATAATGATGATAATGATGATGCTGCCCATGACGATGCTGATGTTGATAAGGATGCAGCTGATGATGGTGGTAATCGTAATGATGATGCGGACTATGACAGTATAATGGCACGGATGATGTCGATTCTTATGATGCTACTGTTGCTGTTGCTGATGATGTTCATCACGTGGTGATGATGATGATGATGCTGATGATGATGATGATGATGATGATGATGATGCTGATGATGATGCTGGTGATGGCAATGGTGATGATGGTCATGGTGGTGGTGCTGATGATAATGATAATGATGATGGTGATGTGATGGTGGTGATGATGGTGATGATGATGATGCTGCTGCTGATGATGATGATGATGATGATGATGATGATGATGATGATGACGAGGATAAGGAGGAGGATGAGGACGAGGAGAAGGAGTGGATGGAGGCGGGAATGAGGAGGAAGGCTTCCATTTTGCACGGACTTGCGGAGGAACGTTTTCACAGGCGTGCGCAGGGTTCCTGGTGTCTTTTGCTGGTTCTTGAGGCTCTTGGAGGAGGCGGGGAGGAAGCGGAGGAGGCGGCCCCCGGCCCGCGGCGCGCTCCGCCGCCCGCCCGCCCGCCCGTGAAGTCTGCCGCGTGTGCGGGCGCACGCTGCAGCGCTTTCTCGATCCGCCGCAGCGCGTGGAGTGGCACGGGCTCCCCGTGGCGTGCTCGCGCCAGGGACGACGAGTGCAGCGGCAGGTTTTCGAACGCTTTCGGCCTCCAGGGGCCCTCCTCCTCCTCCTCCTCTTCTTCCTCCTCCGCGCACCGGTCCTTGGAGGAGCTTGTGGGCACAGAGCCGCAGGAGTTGGGTGACTGGCTAGGCAACGGCTGGGCAGACTACTTCGCCCGCTGCGGTGCGGCCTCTCACGCACTGGCTGGGTCGGTGGCCGAGGCGGTAACTGCTGTGCTGAAACAGCACCGCGAGGTCCTGCAGTTCATCTCGTGGGCGGCACTGCAGGTGGTGCCTCGCAAGCAATGGGGATGCGACGTGGAGGTCCCAAGACCACCTTGCGAGCAGGCTGGGCCCATTGTGGTGGCACGAAGCACGGACCATGTCCTTGCTTACTGTGCCAGCCTCGGGCGGTACCGATGTACCCAATGCGGAGCCACGGCCACAACAGGCTCCTCCCTCGATTCGCTGCAAACTGGCTCTCGTCGTGTATGTCGGCCTTCGCGTGTTGCCAGAGCTCTCAACGCCGAGTACTTCCGCACCTTCGGCGAGGGTTGTGTCCTCTGCAGCGACCAAAGGGCTGGCATGGCGTTGGGCGCGGCTTTGGCGCTCGAAGGGAGCTCGCAGCCCTCGAATCCCGCGGCCCTGGTGCGACCTACCCTGGCCGAGGAGGTTGGGGGCGTTTTCGCAGCGCTTGGGCACGACGTGTTCAGGGGCAACGATGTCTACTGTTACAGACGCTGCGGGTCCCACTGTGCTGCGGGTGATGTCCGCACAGTGCGGAAGCTTGGCTTGAGGTGCGAAGGGCTCTCGCCCAACGAGTCCACGCGCCGCCACCAGCAAGATGCGATCAGGCGCGACGAGAAGGGACTGGCGCCTCGTGCCCGACGTACCCCAGCGGCGCAGCTCCCGCAGGGTGGCCCCTCTCGCAGCCACGCGGCGCGATGATCGACCATGTCGTGATTCGCTGCCGTTCCGTGGCCGGCTGGTGGCACGGCGTCTTCTTCGGCGGCGACGCCTGCTTCGTCGGCGGCAAGTTGGCCTACGTCGACGCGCCCCTGGCCCTCTTTCTCTGCGAGTGGGTTTTCTTCCACGCTTTCTTCAACCTTGCCCTCTCCGCCATTGCGGCGTGAGGGCGCCGCGCTGTCACTCGTCGGTCGCGCCCGCGGCCGCTCGGGAGACACGCGCGAGGCGCTGCGCTCCTCTTCCTCCTCCACTGTCACCAGCTGCGCCAACACGAAGGTCGACATCCTCAAGGACGGCGACATGGTGCAGGAGGACCACCACACATTCGAGCACAGGATGGCGGCCTTGCACCAGCGCGTACGTGAGCGAGAGAGTCAATTGCGTGCTGCACGTGAGGAAGGCAACACCATGCTCGGACACGCGCTGCGACGAGGCGATCTACCTGAACTGCACAGGGCACCTGCAGGATCAGTGCGCGAGCACGTTCGCGAAGGTGACGGTGCCCTCCAGCGAGAGGTACTGGAGGAGACGAGCGCCCACCACGCTCTGCGGCACAGCCGTGAGAGCCTACCAGAGGCGCATGGGCAGCCAGCGCGATGACAACGGGGACCAGCGGAACTCCCTGGGCGGCTACTCCCTCGACAGGGCACCTCCCAGCCAAGGGCGGACGCCGGCCAACGAAGGTGATGGTGCCCTCCAGCGAGAGGCGCTGGAGGAGACGAGCGCCCACCACGCTCCGCGGCACAGCCGCGATATCCTACCAGAGGTGCAGCCCATGGGCAGCCAGCGCGATGACAACGGGGAACGGCAGGACTCCCTGGGCGACTACTCCCTCGACAGGGCACCTTCCTGCCAAGGGCGGAAACCGACTGACGAAGGTGGGCTGGCTGATACTGCCCTTAATGACGCCTCTTCCCCATGGGGCGCGCCTTCTGAGGCTGCGGATCCCGTTCCCGCTGGCTGGGGGGGGTGTCAACGCGACCACCTACCTTGACAAGGCGCGCCTCTGGCCGAGGGGGCTGGCGGGCGCGGGGAGGCGCGGGAGATTCAGCCTCCGCCCCCCCCCCACCGATGGCGCAAGAGGCAATGCCGCAGCCTATGCGCGGGCGAGAAGCCAACGAACGACCAGGATAATCATTTCGCGCAGTGCCAAACGAGGATCTCGCTGAGAGTCCTCGTGGAGCTTTGCGACTCTTTGGCGGAGAGGGAGTTCCAGTTGGCTTGATTCGGAGGGCCTGCGGCCTCAGGCCTTCCTCCAATATGAGGAGAGGTTCGCGGGGACTCAGGAACAGCGACGTGGAGGATGCTGGGTACCTGGGAACCCCAAGAGGGAATCGAGGACGCGGAGATAATGAAACAGGCGCCCTGCCGAGCACTCAGGAGGGGCTCGGGGAGGCACGCCAGAGCGGGCCCCAAGTTCGGGCGGAGCCAGGCAGCTCGCGGCCCGAGCGGCAGGGCGAAGGGCGCTGTGACGAAGTTGGAGCTGGCGCACTGCCGAACACTCAGGAGGGGCTCGGGGAGGCACGCCAGAGCGGGCCCCGAGTTCGGGCGGAGCCAGGGTGCTCGCGGCCCGAGCGGCAGGGCCCAGAGCACACTGGCGTCGGCGCGGCGCCCACGTGCTCAGGAGGGGCCTCCTGCAGCGGGCCCATGGGGGCGGGGGGCACAAGTGGTGCTTGCTGGCGAAATAAGCAGGTAGAGCCACCCCGCCCCCCACCAGCGGCTGCGCAGGAGGCGAGAGGCCCCAGACGCCCAGATGGGCATTCGTTCGAGGTGAACTCCAAGGGGATGGAGTTCAAGAGGCTCGTCGCCATGGCGACGGGGAGCTCGAGGGCGAGGCGTTCGACGTCGTGAGGCCCTTCGGCGAGGTCGCGCCCCTCATCTGATGAGGGGGCTGGGCGGGCGCCCGACCCTCGACCTCCGAGGCCCGCGATATCGATATCGATATCGATATCGATATCGATATCGATATCCTCCTCCTCCTCCTCCTCCTCCTCCTCCTCCTCCTCCTCCTCCTCCCCCTCCTCCTCCTCCTCCTCCTCCTCCCTCCTCCTCCCCGGGGCAGGCTTTTCGTCCTGAGTCGTCTTCTGGCGGTCCCGAGGCCCGGCAAGGGGAGTCCTGGAAGCCGAAAGCGACCAAAAACCGCCCGCCCCAATTTTTTCGGCGATTCGGAGACGTGCCCCAGGGCCCGCCGCAGCCACAGCGGCCGAAGCCAGCGCTGGCCCGAGCAGCGCGCAAGCCCGCATGCGCCTCGGAGGGGGCGCGGCGCCCCAGGGCCGAGCGACTGCGGGCGCCCCCGAGCGGCGCTTCGCCGCCTGCGCGCCCGCGTGCGCCAGGGCCAGCAGCCTGGTCGGCGTCGGGGTGGCGGCTGGCGTTCTGCTCGCCGTGCCGCTCCAGCTGGCGCCCTGCGATGGCTCCCGCCTCCTGCAGTACACCGCCGGGGACCCCGCCTGCAGCGTTGCCGCCCGCGGGCCGGCCGGGGCGGCGGCTCGCCGCGGGGCGCCGCGCGCGAGCCTGGCGCCCCCCCCCGAGCACTGCGAGTTCTGGGAGGCTCTCGAGGGGTGGGGAGGTACCGATACCACTGCTCGTCCTAGGGTCCCTCGTCACCACGGCTGGATTATCCTCGAGATTTTGGTCCGAAGGCGCCTCGGGAGAGGTCCGTTGGGCAGCGGCATCGGTGCCTTGTTGCCCCCCCCCAGGCTGGCGGAACCGCGGGCAGCGGCGCCGCGGCGCCGCGGGAGGCGTCTGGGCAGTGGTGCCTCGGGGACGAAGACGGGGACCTGCAGCGCAGCCAGGACCGCAGCTGCCGCCTGCAGAACGTGTGCTACGACAGCGGCACTGGGGGCCTGGTGTTCTTTCACGGGGGGCCACCCGCCATCCTGGGCATGGACAAGATCCAGGGGCCGGTGTACGAGCTCGGTCCCCAGGCCGTGTGGCTCAGGAAGAGCCGCTGGCAAGGGGGCAAACCGAACCTGGAGCAGGACGTGCCGCTCCAGCTGGAATACCGGCAGGGAACAATCCCGGCTACGGCTCAGTGGTCGCCGCTGCCATACCACGTGTTGTACCACACGTTCTGGGCCAGCAACGTGGGGCACGCCTGGTTCGACGACGTCTTCCCCGTCTTCCACCTGCTCCACCGCTTCGGGCTCCTGGACTGCGCTGGCGAGCGCCTCAAAGTGTGGCAGAACGTCCCGTGCGACTTCTACTTCCGCGCCAAGTCGGCTGAAGACGCGGAGCGAGCCTGCAGGTTCCAGAGGTTTGCCGTGCGGGCGCTCACGGAGGAACCCCTGGAGACGTTTGCCGAGGCAGCTCCTCCGACGCCGCCAGGCCTCCTGTGCATGGAGAACCTGCTGGTGGGCACGGCCATGCTGGGCATGCAGCGCCCCCCCGCGCACGTGTGGAGACCATTCCTGCAGCGCCTCCTCGAGGCGACCAACTCTTCGCACATCTTCCCGACTGGGCAGCACATCGTGTTTGTCCACAAGGATGGGCGCCGGGCGCCGATGAACCTGCTGGACATGGCCAGCAGGTCTCGCCAGCACCTCGCCGGCGAAGCTCAGGTGACCGTGGCGTCGCCGGTGAATCTCAGCTTCAAGGAGCAGTTCGACCTGGCGAGAAGTGCCACTGTTGTCGTCACCCCCTGCGGTGGCATATCTTTCTTCGCCGCTTTCATGGCTCCGGCCACCACGCGCATCATCGTCGACTATTACAACCACGAGAAGAACAAGACTGGCAAGAACGACGCGTACATATGGCAGTGGGATTTCCAGGTGCGCACGCTGCACTACCGCATCGAGAGGTCGTCGGTGGTGTCCGATCCTTCGGACCAGTCGCCCCCAGAGGGCGGCAAGAACACGCGCGTCTGGATCGACTTCGACCAGCTGGTGGGGCTCATCCGGGATGGCATGCTGCAGGCCCGGGCCGGCTACGCCAACAGGTCTCGACTGCACGCAAGAGTGGCCCTTCGCCAGAGTGACCTTTGGTGCGGGCCCACTGGGGGCCCCCCGATCGCCGAAGGCGATGCGATGGGTGCGTCTTGCGCGCCTGGGCTTCAACTCCCCCCCCCGGCTCCCCGAGAGCCGCGCACTCCGGATCACTCTTGCCTAGGGTCGCTCTTGCGTGTAGCCGAAGGTGGCGCCAAGGCCCCGGAGCCGCTGCCCGATCTGAACCACCTCCGGGGCGGCCGCCGTGATGTGCGGCGCGCGGAGAGCGTGCCGCAAAAAAACAGCCCCCCCGTTACGGTAGGTTCGTGTTGTGTCGACCGGCGGCGACCCCGCCAGCGGCGTTCAACTTTGAACGCCGCGGGGGACCCAGAATCGTTCGATGTGGAACGATCTGATGTTTCTGGGACGGCCGATCGTTCAAAATGGAACGATCTCCGTGGTGTCAGAAACCAACGCCGAAGTCGGCACGACACGGACCCCCCGTTATGGGAAGTCTTCTCGCCTGGCGGTGCGCAGGAAGGGTCGGGGGAGTGTAGGGCGCGAGCTCGCCGGAGCTCGGGCCTTGCCCGCGCTCCTTCACGGGCCCCATCCTCTGCACTCTGCCGGTCCAGTTTCCGTGGGATGTCTGCAGCGTGAGTTCCCGTCGAGCTGTTGGATTCGAGTCGGAGATCGATTACATGAGTGATTTGCCTCAGACTTGAAATGGTCGTCGGATCTGCGAACAAGACGTATGATGTGAGTTAGCACTGACGTTCTGAGTATAGTTGCGCAGCTTCGGCGAACGTTTCAAGTTTGTGGTCCATCGATTACGTAGCCGATCTTCTCTTCGAGAACTGGGCCTCGTCATTCGGCAGCGGGCGAGGGGGGGAAGTGAGAAGGAGTAGGCCTTCTCAGAAGGCGGGGTTTCGGGATCGGCCGAGATGCAGGTGGGGATGATTTGCGTATGGGGGGGGGTAATCATAGCCGAGGGCATGGCATCTCCCTGGCATGCATGGCCCCCCACTTTCAATGCATCCCTTGGCCCCCCCCCCCCGGCCGCGCACATGCCGGCAGCCATGATTTGCGACCCCTCCGCCTGGACGCCCCCATGGCTCCAGCCACGGTGCCTTGTCTTTTCGGATGCTGGACATCGGCCGAGGGTCTCGAGACGGCGCTATTTCCCTCGAGGCGTCGATCAAGGAGTGCGGTCGGACAAAACACTGGAGCGCAGCACTGCGGTTGCTCCACGAAGGACTTCGATTGGGTGTGCAACTCGTCCCAAGCCACTACACTGCGACTGCCAGCGCATGCAGAAAAGGCGGGCAATGGCAACACGCGCTGTCAGTGCTCAGTGAGATGCGGAAGTTGAAGCTGGAGCACGACGTCATCTGTACTACGTCGAATTCTGGTCGTTGCGCGTGCGAAGGGGGCGAACAGGTCGCGAGCTACCCCCCCAGCGCCCGGAGCGCCCAGAGCGCTCTCTCCGACGCCCCTCTCGGTGGCCCCGATGACGGCCTCCCTGACAGCCCCAAAGCAGCTCTGAGACCTGCCAGGGCGCGCGAGGACTGCCCAAGAGAGCCCGATCGGAGCCCCATGACAGCCCAAGACGGCCCGACGACTGGCCAGGTGCCTTCCAAAGCGGCCGAACCGGACCTCGATGACGCTCCCCCGAGGCCCAAACCACAGGTGCCTCGTCGGTCTGCAAAGCTTTTTCATATTCTCACCATTTCGGACCAAGACAAGCACCAGCCGGCTCCAGGGCCATCCCAGAGCGCCCCAAGACTGTCGAGGAGACCCCACCAAGTGCCCCGAGTCGGCCCCAGAGGGCCCGAAGACTGCCCAAGAGAAGCCCACGGCAGCCTCAGAGAGCACCCGGTGGCCCCCAAAACAGCCCCAAGAGGGCCCCAGGAGCTGCCCAAGAGATCCCAAAGCGGGTTCCAAGACAGCCCGAGACCGCCAACATCGCCCCAGGACAGCCCGAGAGGCCCCCCCAGACCGCTCAGGAGATCCCCCAAATGGCCCAAGAATGGCCCCAAGAGTTGCCAAAGAGGGCTCGAGCGGGCTCTCAAACGGCGCGAACCCGCCAGGTCCAACGTAGCCCCCAGACGCCCCAAGACTTCCAGCATCAACAGCCCTTCCGGATGGCCCCAGGTCGTCCCTACAAGCCCCCACGGCGGCCCAAGAGCGTTCCCGAGTGGCCCCAGGCACGCCCTGGAGGCTCCAGAAAGGTCCCTAAGAGGCCTCCGAGAAGGTCCGAAGATAGTCCAGACGACTGGCCTCCTGCAGTTCCCAATGGGCCAAAAGCCTTCCCAGGACCACTCCTTCCCAGGACCACTTCGATGAACCAGAGTCTCTCAAGAGACTCCGACACGTGCCAAGGAACTTTTAAGCAGAGCGCCATCAGCCACGGCGCCCTTTCGCCGTCCCTGGAAGCCCAGGAGCCCCAAAGAAAGCCGCGGATCCCGAACGAAGCCCTGGACCACTCCGAGGCGCCCCAGACATCCTAAGATGCTCCGATACTTCCGACGGAGCTCTCGACAGAGTTTCCCTCCCTTGTGCCTCCCAGGTAGCCTTCAACAAAGCTTCTTACCTACAACAAGGCCCAACGAGCCCCCTCGTTCGGCTCTCTTCTCTCACTTATCCTCCTTCCTCCTCCTCCTCCTCCTCCTTCTCCTCCTCTCCGTTCTCCTTCTCCTCCTCCTCCTCCTCCTCATCCTCATCCTCATCCTCCTCCTGATCCTTCTCCTTGGCTCTCCATTCTCCAAGCTCCAGCCACTCTGGGGTTCCCACGCAGCCGATTCGGGGTGGCAAAGGGGGCATGTAGACACCTCGGAGCCCCTGCATCAGCACCCTCACACTTCTCTGTTTCTGAAGGCCTCCAAAGGAATCCAAAGTCCGCCCTCGCTCCACGGCAACTCTCTTCCTCCTCGGCCTTCTGCTCGCTCATGCTCCTCACTTCCTTTTCCTTTGCCCCACGCACCCCAGCACGTCTCGGGCCTCCCCCCAGCGATTAGGGGTAACAAGCAGGACCTTCGTCGCTCTTCTCTATTCTGGCTTCCTCATCTGCGAGTCTGCACCTCCCTCTCTCTGACCTGCTCTCTTCCTTTACACCGCCCCTTTCAAATATGGGTGACAAGGGGGACCTTCTGCTATCTTCTTTACCTCGGCTTCCTCCTCTGGGAGCCTGCGCTCCTCCCATCTTCAGTACAGCTCTCCTCCTGCTCCTCCTCCTCCTCCGCCTCTTCCTGCAAAAGGCTGCAGCGAGACTGGACTTCGGGAAGCCTTCGATGCCACACGAACCCTCCAGGGACCACTCCGAGATAGCCCAGACTCTCCCAGACATTCGAAGACAGCCACCAGCCCTGGAGCCCGAAACCTGCAGCAAACCCCAGAGCAAACCCGCAGGCGTCGGCGACACATGCGCGTTTGGCACCGACACCGTGACCTGCCAGCCGTGGATTTTCCACATGTTCGCACAAGTCTCTTCTGCAATGCAGGGACCCGCGCGTGCGAGAATGTCCTCTGTCTTGAGTGCCCCCCGGACCCTGAGAGCCTCCAGGATGATCCGAGACTGCTCCCGGGGGCCCCGAGATGCCCCAAAACGGCCCCAAGACGGCTCAGGGACGCTCGTGAGAGCGCCAGGTCGGCCCAAGAGGAACCCAAGCGAGCCTCAGGACAGCCCCAGAGGCCTTCAAGGCAGGCCAGGACGCCCCCAAGACGGCCCAGGAGGACCCCCAGGGGAGGCCCCAGAGGCAAAAACCGCCCCATTCCATCCGGAAAACATAATTTCCACTGTTCATTATTTTCGTCGTCGCAGTGTCCAAGACGGCTGTACAGGCCTCTCCCCAAGCCATCTTGGGCCATCTGGGGCCGTCATTGGCCGCTCTTGGAGGTGTATTGGGTGCCTGTGGCGCTGTCTCGGGCGCCTCCGGAGCCGTCTCAGCTGGGGCCGTCTCGGACCGTTTTGGTTCCCGCCTGTGGGCATCTGAGAAGCGTCTTGTCCCAAGACGGCCCCGACATGGCCCGAGAGGCACCCAAGACTGCCCCACCTTGCCCCAACACGGCCCAACAGGCACCCAAGACGGCCCAAGAGGGCCCGAGGCCGAAAAGAGGCCCCCCAAAGAGGCCCCCAAGCGGCCTTCGGTGCTTGTCTCTTGGGGGGGGGGCGCTGACAACTGACGATCGAAGCTTTTCCCTTGGGGAGCGTCGACGACTGACGATCCAAACTCCACGTCCGCACCATGGCGGGCAGACTCCGCGGCCGGAAGGCCGCGGGCCAGCGCCTGGTCAGCTACAGCGCTGGGATCAGCGCGTGCGAGAAGGGCGAGCAGTGGCAGCGGGCGCTGGCGCTGCTGAGCGAGATGTGGGAGGTGAAGCTGGAGCCCGACGTCATCTGTCCTACAATACTGGGACGGGTGCGTGTGAGGAGGAACATGTACATGTTTGGCTTTTTTTGTGCTTTTCGTCTCCGACGCGTCCACGACGGCCATACAGGCCCCCAAGATCGCTCCAAGATGCTGTGTAAGTGTCTTTTCGGCGGTCACACGGCCAGTCGGGCGATGATTCCAGTGCATTGTTTGCCCTCCCTCCGTTTCCCCTTCGTCTTCGCCTCGTCTTCCTCCCCCACCGCTCGCCCGGGCAATAATCGTCACAGGTGTCCCCCTTGCGTTTCCGTCGCAATTCTAGTGGGGAGCAGGATTTGTCCGCTCCCGCTTCTGTCGACCACAAGGTGTACACTAGGTCTGTTTAAAAACAAGATGCCCCATGAGGGCCCCAAGAAGGCCTACGACGGCCCCAGGACGATCCCAGAGGCGCCCAAGACAGGCCCAGGAAGCATCCAAGACGGCCCCAAGAGCTGCCCCAAGACGGCCCCAGAGGCGCATAAGCGGGCCCAAGACGGCCTTAGGACGGCCCAAAGGCACCCAAGACGGCCTAAGAGGCCCCCACGAGCCCGAGATACTCAAGACTGGCCCGTGCTGGCCCTGCCGCGCTCCGGGCTCTCCACTGGAGGCTGCAAGACGCCCCTAAATGGCTCCACGACTGTCCAAGATGGCCCGAGACGGCCTCCAGTCGGTTCAAGCGGTCGCCAGTATGGCTTTACGACGGTCCCACAGGGCCGCAAGACGGCCAGAGAGGGCCCCAAGAGCCTTCCAAAGAGGGTTCCGAGAGGTCAAATGATTGATCTCCCGTATTCTTTTTACTGGTATCGACGGTCTCGCCTTTCGGATTCTCGACGCTGCAAGACGGCCCAAGAGGCCCTCAAGATCGCACCAACACGGCTCGACAGGCTTCCAAGAGGGCCCCCAGACGACCCATGGCC